ATTTAATGAATCATAAACATTACACGATTTAACCACTAGAGGGCAGCAGTGTTACATCATTTAATGAATCATAAACATTACACGATCTAACCACTACACTGTAGTGGTAGAAAAAATGAAGACGACAGTGGTGCCATACATACCATGTGTCCATTTGGGTCTCCAAATATCCTTTTAGAGCTCTGCCTGGATCTCTTCATGGAAGAAACACTGTAGAATCGTCATACTTTGTCCAATCTTCTTCAAATTTGAGGCAGTTGTTCACTGATAGTGTAGTTACAGCCCTATACTGTAATTTACCTGTACAGATACAGCCACAGGCAGTTATTTATACTGAAAGATACTTTTTTATTTTATGTGGACAAAAATCTTCAATTTTTACTGACTCCAAAGGCCCACTGCTCTGTTTCTATCTGACCTACACGTTTTCTGACACTTTTGATGCATATAGTCACAGTGGTTCAGAAGCTACAGCCATTTTAATTTGGGTATGTCATTTTAGGTGGTTTTGCTCCAAAATAGGGGTGGAGTTGAACAGGTAACAATATAGTTATTGAATACAAATCAAACCAAGAGTGAGATCAATTAGTTAAACTAATAGTGTTAATATTTGAATGGGCCCCGGGACACTTTGTACTTGAAAAGTTGGGCCCCGAGGTCAAAAAGGTTAAGAACCCCTGCTCTAGTCCACCACCTATCTAATTAGCTGAACCTAACCTCCAGCCTGTGATGGTGGTTGACAAGGGTGTTTTCTAGCTACATTCACTCTGATTTTGCAAGCCTCTAACCGTGTTAGCCTGTGCTGCTTCTGCTGCTGTCACTGGAGCTGTCAGAGAAAATGTATTGTGTCAGAGCTGTTTGTGAGCTGATGTCAGGGGGCCCAACGTCCACTTGTGCAGGAGAAACATATGTAGCTATTAGTCATTGCTGCTTCTCACTCTTTCTGTATGTGGGTGTGTGTTTGTACCAGACTATCTGCCAGTCAGTTTTTCAAATCCAAGGTTGCTTTCACCATGAACTCTCTAATAGTGACACGCTCCTGGTATGTGCACCCAACTGTGTGGCAAATTAACTTTTAATTCATTCAATATGACAATATCATTTTCAGAAATGTGGATTTCCTGCATTGGTTTTGTTTCTTTTTCCTCTATTAATTAATGAATTCCTTTTTAATAAAAAATATAAAGACGTCAGATTAGCTAATTATTCTCTCATGTGCCTCAACACACTGAGCTACACCTGGTGTTAATTTGACAGCTCTCAACAGCTGTTATGAACAACCACATTTGAAGAAGGGATGAAAAGCAGACTGCCATAGTGGCGAGATAAGATAATTGTTTAATACAGGGATGACGGAGCACATTTTCAGACAGTCTCTCCTGGAAGGTACTCTTAATGGTGCACTTGGTTGTACATATCAAAAGTGACAGAAGTAGTTGTGTAACAAATGAAAAAAGATAACTCGAGAGACCCTGCTTGCTCTCTCATCTCAACATTTCCAAGAATTGCAACTTCCTTAGTACGGCTGGATTAATCTCTGAGTAAGTCCTTTGGGCGAAACGGAGCTGCCGCTGTCCCCCCCATCTCATTGTTACAAAGTCCATCCTATTTGAAACAAACTAGATTTGTCTAGTTCCCCAGGCAACCTTGGCCCCCATCCCCATCCCCATACACTTGACACTTACTCCAGTTCCATGGATTTGAACTCGTTCCATGTATTGGATCCTCAGTACATCATGCCTTGACTTGCTACCCAGTTTTTGTATCTTCACTTTTTTAATAAACCAATGATCTGTTTTTCTCTGCCCTGTTTGCGTTTTGGTCCTTTCCCTGCGGCCTCACACTCACCTGCTTGACTGCAATATGTACAGTTTGTATGGGATACTGCTTGGGCCCTGATGTGCTGTGTGGTCATTTTGAAATATGCAACATATAAGCAAATAAATTAAATAATAAAGGTCTTAAAAACTAGATTCTGACCCTCTTCAAAACAGGGTCTCCAGGTCAGGTAATAAAACAGGGGCTAATGCCGGTTGATGCTGTGCTTTAGTGGTGTATATAACCAAACAAATTTAAATCGAATTAGCATAAACCAGTCAGCATGCAATACCCAGAGCTTTCAGGATCCCTTGGGTTCTGTGGCCACAGGACAATTGCATGCTTTGCCTTGTTGATAAGGCACACTTCTGGCCCCCAGCAGTGGATACATTACTTTTGTTTCATCTTCTATAATTAATCACTTCTACTATTTTGTGGAAGGTGGATGCAAATAATTTTTCAGCCCTGGTTTACTATTTTGTAAAGTTTAAGGTGAAAGCATTGTAGAATACAATGCTTTCACTGTAGACTTTCATTGTAGACTACATAGGAGGAATGGTTTCGTAGCAAGTCCCACAAGGACAGATTTATCACAAGAGATTATGTCCCTCCCCAGCAGCATCAGCATAATTGCATTGCAAGACAATGCAATATCAACTTCAAGTGTTCCAATTTTACTTGTTTCCCTTGATTTAAGATGATTCAAGAGCAAAAACAACATATTGACTGTCCAGGAACTGCGCGGATCATTGAGCTCTCTCTGCGTAACCATAGCACGGCACCTCCGGAGATAAAGTTGTATCCTATGTGTATCATCAGCCTCCTATATTTGCAACATTAAAAAGGGGAAATGGGTATAAATTTACAAGATGGCATCTGAAAGGGAATCAAAGATGATGATAAATATCCAGATCTGGTCTTGTGCTCAGTTGAAGCTTAGTTCGAGTTAGGTCTTAATGATACAGACGGCATTACTTGAGTGAGAGGTTTTGCACGGTCTGATGACTCCTGAGAGATCATTTATCTGCAGGATATAGTTGCTGAATGGGTAAGTGACTTTCAGAAGCTTCCTCTTTGTGCACGTATTTGCAGAGCAGTTGTGGTATTTATTCATTTTTCTTCAGCCCACTTTTTTTCAATAATAGCAGAAAATAAATGAAAGTTTTATCTGATATATGCACTTCAATATGAAACGTATCAGTTGTTCTCATCATCAGTTCACCAGTGCATGGAAAAGACACATTCATATTTTTTTAATGCATTTGATGAGCAGAGACATCTGCAGTTACTATATATCACAACAACACTGACACCATGAGTGCAGCAGCCAGTGAAAAGATCAATCAACCATTCAATCAAACTGTACTTATGTAGCACAAGATAAGTGTTAAAGGTTATGTGTCTGATGTGAGAACTGACAAAGGTGGCTTGATTAACACAAAAGAGAAATGTCATGCAACGGCAATTAAAATGATTAATCATAAACACATACTTTTCTCACAGATGAATGAATGAATCAAACTGCATCAAAGCAAGCCTGAACACATGATTTGAAACAACATTAGTGAGCAGCCATTTCATTGAAAACAGCGTTTAATTGAAAACAGCGTTTAATTGCACTAAAGCGACTCTTGAAGAAAAAGGGATGTAATTTTTCCGTAACACCCACGGGCTTCTTGGAGGTAATGGTCTGCTATTTCTGCAGCAGTAACAGCATTTCAAGAGCCAGTTGCCCTCCGAGTGTCAAGCTCATTTCTCTTGCATCTGCTGATGCACTCAAAGGAAATACATTGAAATAATTCCATCCATCCACATTCCTTTCCAGCAGGATTTGCTTCCTGGTGGAGCAATGGTCAGAATACTTTGGACGAAAGTCATTTAGAATAGGTCTTATCCACATTGTATTGAACCTGTTTTGCTTTTTTTTCACAATGTTTTTTTCTAAATTATACATTTTAAATGTTGTCATGTACATGTAAAATTGAAACCCTTCTTCTTGATCCATTTGATTTTACTGGCAGATAAATTTCCCATTTAGAAATACGAATTTGCTTGTAAAAAATCAGTTTAGTTGCTGATCAGTGAAATAAAGTTCCTTTCATGTTCAAAACAAAGTAACTGAACATCTATGAGTACAGTGTTACCTCCATTCAATAATTGATTATTGTATCCACTTCTTGTTTATGATGTTGTTGATGTCTTGTAAACATGGATGAAATTTAAATGTTGTACAGTTAGAAAATACCGAGTGCGAGAGAGAGAGGCGACAGGGTGTTGGTCACAGGCCATTTGGAGCTTAACCGAAGATAATTTCTGATCACATAAAATTGTGTGTGTGTGTGCGCGTGGGCTCTCTGACTAGCTCACAGCTGGAAGACGCTTCTAATGGAGATATGCCACTGCAACCCACAAGCTGTTTGGCTAATATGCATAATGGATTATCTGTCTGTCCCTGATCTAGATTTGCAGCTTTAATATGGAGGTGGCCGCGGGGGGGGGGGGGGGGTGGGGGAGCATGAATTTGTAAATTTGTACTTTATGTGGTTTACTTCACAATGATCGAAGCACATCCTCACGGAGCTGCTAGAGGGGCCTGCTCATACAATATATCTGTTTGTTTGGTTTTTTTAAACATAAGAATTCCTGCTAAAAGTGTTACAATTATATCCAAGTGAAATAAAACAACTTCATTTCCCAGAAATCTTGCGATCGTGGCGCTGAGTGCTGAGTCACGCGCCGACGTCACCAGGAAAGGGAAGCAGTTTGTAAACAGGGCTCGCTTGGATATCTAACCAGCGCACACCGGCAGCCGAACCCTACTGCCCGGTGGAACTGTAACTCAACAAAAGTAGGACTCTGAAGCTGCTGATTAATCATTATTAGCCGTATCACACATGGTGATCTGCTGTCGGGTATCTCCAACACTTACCATCACGGCGGTGCGTTCAGCTGTGTGACCTGTGCCCGACTTAGAAGCAAAGGTAGGCTGAACTTCTGCAGAAGTTACATTTTGTGATTTTAATCTAATGTTACATTTGTATAGTGATGCGGATTAACAAATACTGCAGCTACTTTTGCAAAGTGATATTAATCCGGTGTTACCATTAAAACGGTTTGCACAAAGTATTTTACTGTAAGTTTTTGGCACAAACTTGGCTTGCACTTATTTATAGAAATGTTTTATTTTACTCTAAATAAGGAAATAGGTAAATAAGTAAACGATGCAATGCAGGTGGTCTTGCTGTATGGCTGCATTTACCTTGAAAATGTCAGATCATTTGTACTTTGACTTTCAGAGTCTAAAGTCTAAATGTCTAAAGTCTAAATGTCATTCACAGCATGTAGGAATGAATCGGGTATGAAGGTACTGTGGACTTATTACACCTCTCAGGGGCCTGTCTAGTTTGTTACCATTTGTTTTCTGTATTAGAGCAGACTGGTCTAAACTTCCCAAAGAAAATGAAAAATAAGCCCAAGTGATCCACAGTCCATATTAACCAGTTTGCTGTACGGCTGCAGTTATTCATTATTTTCATTCTCGACTAATCAGTTAGTCTAGGAAACATCTAGTTTGCAGTATTCAAATGTCTTATTCCAGAATCAGTTTACGCTGAGATGTTAAATGATGATATTAAGACGTCACCTTTTTTATTGCAGCCACAATGTGATTTGTAAAAGATTTGCTTGACATTAGTAATACCAGTAAGTTGTGCAATTCCTAATGAGATCACAGAATGCGACGTGAACACCCCTCACTCCCTCTGCTGTTAGTGTTGCATTGATTTTCGCTTATACTCTTCCTTGTAGTCCTTTCATCATGGCTCTGGCCGGAGTGAGAGTTATTGAGCTGGCGGGCCTGGCTCCAGCACCGTTCTGCGGCATGATCCTGGCAGACTTCGGAGCAAAGGTGATCCGTGTGGACCGGACCAAGTCCGGCATGTCTTTAGATACACAAGGGCGGGGGAAACGATCCGTGGCTATCAACCTGAAGACGCCAGAGGGTGTAACCTTGCTCAGGAAGCTCTGTGTCCAGTCTGATGTTGTTCTTGAGCCCTACCGTAAAGGTCAGACCACAACTATTGAAATGCAACCCTTAAAGGGGGGGCCTCAAGCGTGTTATAGCCAGGACGTCACCACAATGTTTACACTCAATGAGACACGACATGAGCAGACACAGATAACGCATTTTTGGGGGGGGGTTTGTTTCCGACCAGGTGTGATGGAGAAGCTGGGCCTCGGTCCGCAGGAGCTGTTAAAGGAGAATCCTCAGCTGATCTACGCTCGGTTGACGGGGTACGGACAGAGCGGATCTTACGCCACCGCAGCAGGCCATGACATCAACTACATCGCCCTCTCAGGTCATAACACACACGTACACGCAACTGTTAATGCTTTTAAATTGGATGTTTCTACACCTTATATTGCAGATTTAATGGACTGGCGTGTTCTTAAAGCCGTCAGAGGAAGATAATCTTTTTGTGAGGTTGGCGATTGTGTATCTCTTTGCACTGTCTCTATCTTTTCATGACCTTGGAAGTGAGCAAACTTGGAGTTTCAGTCTGTAATTACTTTAGTGCTGTGACTGTGTGCGTGACGTCAACCGTTTCAATCCATCAATAATCAAAACAAACACGAAAGACAACACAACCAAGGTCGGTGCTAGTTGCTTTCAGTACAGCATGGTTGGTAACATCGAAACATAGACAAACTCAACAGACCTTATTCACATAGTATTCTTTCCCATTATTTCATTTGCCAACCAGGTGTGCTTTAGATAACACTTAGTATGACTTTGGAAATCTGCAAGGAAAATAACTATTCCAATGCAATGGGAGGTCCACAGCAAGAAATCATACACAACAAATAAATACCACCTGTTGATAAACTGATATAAATGACTCATACATACATACATACATGTACTACCCAATAGATACTTAGCATATGAGGTAGGTGCACTTGTGCAACACATTTTGTGTGAAGCTTTAGTCTCCTCATTTCTGTCACAGGACTTTTATCCCGGCTGGGTCGGAGTGGAGAGAAGCCCTACGCGCCGTTGAATCTGATAGCAGACTTTGCAGGAGGTGGTCTTAGCTGTGCTCTGGGGATCGCCCTCGCTCTGCTCGAGAGGACAAAGTCTGGGAAAGGACAGGTCATTGATGCCAGCATGGTAAGCATGTAGTCAGACGTAGTTAACGCGTACTGTGGCATCTGCTCGGGGCGACTGTGGCTAAGTGGAGAGCAGGGCCGTCCTTCAATCAGAGGATCGGCGGTTCGATCCCCGGCTCCGACTCCGCTACTCGCATGTCAATGTGTCCTTGAGCAAGACACTTAACCCCAAAATTGCTCCCATAGCTGTGTCTACGGAGTATGAATGCGGTAGAATCTGAATTGTAAGTCGCTTTGGATAAAAGCTTCTGCTAAATGACTGTAATGTAAATGTAATGCTCTGCAGAACGTGTTGTTGACATTCATTCATTTTCTGAAATATAAGTAAATATGGTACACGTTTGATATTTTTTCCCTATTGTCAGCAAAGAACGAGCGCAAGCAATAACAATAGAGACACTTTGCACAAACTGCAGTCAGACACAGTTGGAGGTAGACAGTCAGATTGACGACAGGCCTCCAGCAAAAACCGAGAACATTTAATACAAACCAGGCAGTCTAGGTTGAAGACTTGTCGAACACCGGGTAGCAGTTGATGCTTATCGGAGGAAAGACTTTACAACTCAGGAAAGTTATCCGAGGTATTCTGTATTACTGTGCAGTACGCTACCAGAATGCACCACATTGTGGCAAACTTTTGTGTCATGTTTAACTTTTATTGGGATAAGTGATCAATCGGACAGCCCTTAGTGAAGTTGTTTGAAAAGCACATCAAAGTGTCTGAACCCTGCTGTGCCTTTTATCCACTGGCTGTAATGAAGCAGGAAGGTTACCAAGCTCTAATGAACTCCTTAAGGAGGTGGATTTGTAAAATGTTTTGAATATTGCAACTCCATAAATCCTCGTGAACAGTCTAAAATATGCAGCTTGATGCGTATAACACACTAAAGTGTATTTGATTGTTTTATTTGATGCAAAAACATTTTAGCTTATGGAAGTGAAGTGTTTGACTGCTACCGTGTAGGACTGAGGAGATGCTGTGTGTTACTTTCATAAAGTAAAACTTAACTATAGCTCCCCTTTAGCTGCCCGACAACTTACCGCTTTTGGCACAATCGCACCACTCTCATCGCGTTGCTTTCAGCCGCAGCAGGCTGCTGTTTTTAGCAATTTGGAAGAAGATAGTTGAGCTGTTAAAGAAAAGCTTGTGTGTGTACATTGTGTTACTACTTCAAGTATGTAAATCCCCTTTGTTGATTATGCCGTTATTGTTTGCTGTTATAAAATTACTTTTGAGAAGCAGCACTTCATTCATGCTGTGACTGCATTGATTGCAATCAGCACATAGCATGTCACTTTTGAAGGTGACTGATTCCATCTCAACAATTTCAGTTAGAGATGAATAGCTTTCTTGTTATTCATTCAGCAGCAGTAATAGCTTATGCCCACATGCAGATTTCGAGAATAGGGAGCAGGTGGTTTATACAGTGAATGTCAGTATATTCACCCTTTATGCAGTGTTTTGACAAGTAATTGCAGTAGCATGGCATTTCACCTTTGTGCATTTTCTTCTTGAGAAATGGGGCTGCATACTGGAGAGATATGCTGCTGATATCTTCTTAAGTCAGCTTCTGCTGCACTATGAAAAAGGTATATATACTAACGTGTATGGGAGTGTATACAGGTGGTAGTTTGCCAATGAATTACTTAAACAGAAACATGTATGCTCTTGTTTTAAGTAAAGGCATGGTGCTTTGTATTCATGTATCTGTCTCTTTAAAATGTACATATGACTGGAGTAATTATGCATAAAATAGAGATAAGAGATGTAGACCCTTTTGACCTTATGTTTTCTCTTCCTGTACCTCACCATCCTCAGGTAGAAGGAGCCGCATATGTAGGTTCATTTGCATGGAAATCTCGTAGCATCGGTATGTGGGACCGTCCTCGAGGACAAAACATGTTGGACAGCGGAGCGCCCTTCTACGATACCTACGAGACCGCAGACGGAAAGTACATGGCTGTGGGAGCCATAGAACCGCAGTTCTACACACAGCTACTTAAGGGTTCGTAGTAAACAAATCCAGATTGGAGGCATTTTTGTAGATGAAAGGAGCCCCTATGGCATTGGTCACCAGTGTCACACATGTGCCATGCCATGAACAACAGCTAAACCTCAAGGGAAACTAAGGCATGGGAAGGGCTCAGTGTGAAATTAAATGAAACACTCTTCTCCTCACAACACCAATCTCTAGAAGTGTGAAAGCAGCAGATCTGTGAAATCAGAGAAATGTGTCAAAGAAACTGTAATGTGAAACAATAGCAGTTCTCTGCTGATGTGGCTCTAGGAGAACAATCATGATTGGTGAAAAAGAACAGGTCACCTTTAAGGTGAACAACAATCATTTAGCTTTTGACACACGTTTCTCTGTTGGGTTATAAAAGTATTTGTTTCCCCACTCTAGGTTTAGAGTTGGATGCTGGAGCGTTACCTCCTCAGATGAGCTTCACTGATTGGCCAGAGCTGAGACGGCTCTTCATAGAGTGTTTTGCTTCAAAAAGTCAAGCAGAGTGGTCAAGGATTTTTGATGGGACTGATGCCTGTGTTACACCTGTGTTGTCTTTCGACGAGGTGAGCTCACACCCACATAACCAGGAAAGAGCTTCCTTCATGAAGGACGCCAGCGGGGAGGAAAGCCCCCGGCCGGCCCCGGTTCTCTCTCGGACTCCTGCAGAGCCTTGCCTTGCCTCCGATCCTGTTATTGGAGAACACACAGTTGATGTCCTAAATGAGTATGGGTTTACATCAGCAAACATAGACCAGATGCTAACAGCAGGGGTCGTAGAGTGTAATCCTGCCAAAGCAAAGTTGTAGAGACTTTAGAGATTGATATCAGTGATTGATTTGGACGAAAAACACAATTAGACCACACCGAATTAAGGTCTCAAATTTAACACTTTAAAGTTTCTTAAATACTTTCCTAAATACATATGAACCACTCTTCATATCGGCATAAATTAGATCCACCGCACAGCAAATTTAAAAAGAAATATTGTAATTTTAATGCTGGTTTGCCCGATTCACAGGAAGTTAGGTAAATGAGAATGTTGAAGCTTATATGTGATTGCACATTCTATGTCTATATTATTATTATAAATGTTTTTCTGGTGGGTGCAAAGTCAATCAACATCTCCAGAACACCTTTACTTAAGTTAAGATAATTGAAATACTAAATTAGCCATCGCCACAGGAAGTACATGTAAATCTAAACCTGCTGTATAACAATTTTGTAAAATAATCACAATAAAATGCATGAAATGTGAGTGTTGTCCCACTATGAGCATGTGATGCGAAGGAGAGATGACTCAATGTTTTACTGTCTGTTAAATATGAAACTAGTGCCAGTAAGAGCTTAGCTTAGCAAACGACTGGTACCAGGAGGAAAAAGCTAGCCTGGCTCATCTGCCCCAAGATTAAAGTGCCTACCAGCACCTCTAAACCTTACTGATATACTGTATATAAAACATTAGTATTATTATATATAAATTCAAAAAAGATATATGAAAATGACGGCTGTTCTTTTTGCTTAGCTAAGCTAACCGGCTTTTCCCTCCATCTAACACAGTTCCAACTCTGACTTTATGAATGTATATCACATATGTTGTAGTATAAAACCTACAGGTATGTGAGGAATTTCTGTGGTATGACTCCAAACATCTGACTCTCACTGTGCCAGGCCAAACACGGGGCAACTGTCTGTAAGCATATAGCGTGAGATTAGTGCTGGCTTCAAACACCGTTTGATATACTGTATATGTAAGCTGAATTTTGCAGAGTTGTTCTGCAAACACACGGAGGAAACATCAAAACAGTTGAAGATCTTAAGCTGCAAAGTGTAACCACATGTTATTGTAATTGTTGAACTTGAGTACAAAGTGATGCTTTTGAAAATCATTATGGAAATTACACAATTACTACAGAGAATCATTTAGATAATGGATCCATAGATTGCATAATCTGTGTTAACAAGGCACTTTAGTTTCATTACATTTCTTTCCCAATGTTTTATTCTTATTTCAGTGTAAAAGACAACTCTGTACTCCAGGGCTGCAGCAAATGGGTTGATTTTTTATTATCTGACATTTATTTTCTTAATTAATAATTTTGTCTTCAAAATTTCACTAAAATAGTCAAATACATGTTATAATTTTCCAAAGACCTCAAATGCCTTGTCATATCAGACCATCAAGCCGAAACAGAAAGATACTCAGTTTTTTATTATATATGAAGAAAAGCATCAACTCCGATTGATTCATCATCCAGCACATGTACCACTGCCTGCACTGCACCAACAGTTATTTTAAACGAGTATATATTTGCTTGAAAGATGACCTTTTACTCTCATCTTTCTCTCTTCAGTTTCAGTAGTCGTCCTTGGGGATCTCATGGACCATCTCTTGATAAGCTTAAAGTGCTGCTGTAGCCCTTGTGATTTCATGGTACTCTTTCATCAGTACAAGTGGTTCTGGGGGAGGATAGATGTATGGTTATCTAGGCAAGCCAGTTTTCTAATTACAGCGCAATTCACAGTTTTCCTTTTTCTCTTTTCCACAGTGTATTTTTAGAGACCGATTTTAAAGAGAGTTCTTCCCCAACCATTGGAACTCTGCCTCATCAATGACAGGTATATATTATTAGAAAATATTGGCGGTATGGTTACTCAAAATATTTCAATACAAAATCTCAGGAAACCTTCTAACAGCCTCTCCAGGACTGAGGTCAACAAGAGTCTGCAGCCATGCTAGCAGCTTTGTGAGGCTGCACCTCGTCTTTGAGCTAAATGCTATCGACATCATGCTAACATTCTTACAGTGACGGCATGCTAATGTTGGTCAGGTGTGATGTTTACCCACTTCACCATCTTAGTTTAGCGTGTTAGCATGCTAACATTTGCTAATTTGAACTTACTTGAAAGTACAGCTGAAGCTGAGTGTCACTAGTTTTTCAATTAGTCACAAGTAGATGTATTGAACCAAATAATATTTGACCTAATGGTGAAGCAAAATGAGAAGTTTAGGGATCATCAAAGCTATTAAAATCCCTCCTGAGGGGACCATAAAGTCTCACAGCAGTAAATCTAATAGGTGACTTTTCATGTCAAAAACACAAATATTAACCTCATAGTGGCGCGAGAGGAAAAGTCATGTGATCACCAAAGTCAATTCACCCTCCAGGGACCATGAATATCTATACAAAATTAAATCTAATAGTGGTTGAGATATGTGCACCAAAGTGATGTGGCTTTAAAATAATTGATATGGATGTTAATATTGGAGTGGAAAGGTCAGTGTCATTTGTATGGACCGCTTCACTAAGTGAAACTCGGTAATCATATTGTTCTAATGTACCATATACTGTATAGTTGTGTTGTAAGCTATTCTGTGTTTGGATAAAAACAGCAATTATTTCTCCTTTGAACCCATTAAAGTCAATTTTGATCTTTAGTTGTTTTGGTATTGAGCTCAGCTCTGAAGCCAGATTTCAAAATGAGTAGTGGTTGTCACGGGACATAATGAGGACTCAAATGCAGACAGTCAGAGTAGTGAACAAAAAGGGTTTTAATAACTCACGAAACAAAAACAGGATTGTGACAGTGGTGGCTTCAAAAAGACATGTTGGTTATTAGAGTGCAATTCTGAGGTTTTTGAAATACTGTAGCTGGTACAAATGATGTGAAGGATGAATGAGTGGACTACTTGAACTACTTCCTAATTTAACAGGGAGAATGTCAAGATGTCTTTCAGGCTTTGATCTCCAGCAGCACCGATGTGGAGAGAACCTTTAACAGTTTCAAGAAGCAGCTGCTGCTTTATAAGCTGACATGTTACTGGAGAATTGGATCGTCTGCTTTCTAATATTGAAGAGCTTTCAACATACTATTATTTTAGACCATGCACCCTAATTATGGAGGTAATTCACTGTTTTAGCGATGTGCCTTTCAGTGATTCAGTTTTAATTCTTAGGCACAACAAAGCTAAACAGACTAAACTTTACCAAAGCTTTAATGAGACATTTTTTAAAGTTTGACATTTTAGGAAATACACTTATTCGCTTTCTTGTCAAGAGGTAGATGAGAAGTGTGATACCACTGTCATATGAGAGGGATGTCGATATTCTCATCCAACTCTCAGCAAGAAAGTAAATAAGCCTTTTTTTCCCTAAAATGTCTAATTGTTGCTTTTAGGTTGCTAGTTTATTTTCTCCAAAACAACACTTCATTAAGGCATGATAATGCAGCCTCACAATCCAACCCCATGGAGAGAGAGATGGTGTGTGATCTGCAGAGTTTGTTGTAAAACACTCTTCAATTAGTGGCTCATCCATTGCCTGTTCCTGTAGATCACATGCCTCTCGTGGCAGGTAGGAATCCTTCCTCAGCTGTGTCAAAGACACACATTTTCACATGAATATGTCCGTGGGAGATTTGTGCAATAGTGTTGCAGTTCTACAGCATTTACTGTATGTTGTCTGTAGTATTGAAACGATTAATTGTTCACCTAAATGTCAGGGTGCTGCTTTTCTTTCTTTCTATGTGCAAAAAAACACAATACCGTGCTGTAAAACAAATATAAATGTTACTTAAAGCTGGTAATATTCTATATTTTGCTGGTGATTTTACTTAAACTAGCTGATTAACAAGGGGAAATGGCTCAGCTTTCATCAGATTCTATGATTGCTGGCAAGTATACTGTATATCAGTTGTGGCGTTGGTCGGCATGTAAATCTATAAACCAGCGATTACGTTTCTAGTTGCCAAGTATCGTGTTGTTATTATAATTGAATTACTGGCATTATAGCTTTGGTTGGGAGATGTGAGCGCATCTCTAATGAGATCGACCATATTTGTCCTACCTCTTTGTCTTTCCACCATTTTATATATACCATATATACCATTTAAATATATTGAAGTAAAAAGTACAATATTTCCTATAGAAATGCAGTGTAGTAGAAATATAAAGCATGAAATCAAAGTGAAGTACCTCAAATGTAATCAAATGTACCTCACAATTGTAGAATAACAGCAATTTAGTTAATGTACCTACTACACCACTGGAGTATGTACTGTAAGTACATTTCCTATTTGAGTGTTTTCTGTGTCTGCCTTCACTACGTCTGTGCATTGTGGTTATTCCTCTATAGCTCATATGATGGTTGACAGCCAATCAGACTTTGCAAGTTGGACCAGTGGCACCTCACTCCAGGCTGTCCTGTCACACTGCTTAGCACTGATTTGTACTCCAAGATTAATGCAGTGGTTTTAATAAGTATACTGGTGCAGACAAATGATCATTCAGCAGAGTGGGCCCAGACCACTGCAAGACAAATAGGTCACCACACTGGAAAGAAAGGTATTTAACACCTGACCTTAACCTGATCTCCCAAGGGATCCGTCTTTGATAACGAGCAGTTTGGACGAGGATGAAATTCATGGTGAAGAGTGAATGTCAAAAATGTCTTCCTGAATTCTGAGTTAAGGTCAAAGCATCATGTCACCCTTATGGCTTCAGCTCAGCTTGAGAGCAGAAAGTTAGTCACAGAATAGCACACCGACTTTGAGATATTGAACCTGCTGTACAATTAAATATGAATACTGTGGACTTAACTCTAACTATTTCTTATAGTTAGTCAAAGAAAGAATATTTTACAGCTTCAAGTTGTTTCTTTGTATGATCTCACATCTCTGATTCCAAAATAATTTAATTCAATTTAATTCATTAGCATTAGGTAATCCATCCAATAGATGATGAGATTAGTCAGTGTGGACCAAAGTGGTGGATTGACAGACCAGCCGTCCATTTTTAGCCTTTTAGCCGCACCACTCGCATGGCTTTAAAAAAAAATAAAATGAATTGGATTCTAATTTAATTGTGGATGAAACAGAAACTGCAAATGCCAAAGCAGAAGAGACCTGCGTTATCCAAAGACATTAAATAAAACGACAAAAAGCACATCAAATTTTCCCTTTGCCGTAGGCCTAAGTAATTCTTTTTTTAAACATATTTTTAATCATCTTTTTTCATTGGCGTTAAACTGTACATACAGGAAATCACTTTTTAAATAAGCTTTCAAATGTATCAATTAATTAATTAGATACGGTGGCAAACGCCTCCCTACTGAAAGAAGAGTAGCCAAGAAATAAATACCACTGGCTGATCATTAGTGACTGTTGAAACAACGGAATAAAGGACCCTCTTTACCACACACACACACACACACACACACACACACACACGCTCACATGCAATTCCTCACACAAACTCACATGAATTGCCCTGGGTCTTTACAGTACTTGAAACATTTAGTAATCCCCTAAATACACCCACTTCTTTCTCTCCTCCCTTCTCCCCGTGTTGTTCAATGAGTGCCACTCTGCTGTGCTCGGACCAGGAGGCAGACCTTCACATGTAAAGCAAAGATGTGTGGCTCTTGGACTCATTGCTCAGCTATGCCGTAGAGAGGAGGATTAGCTCAAGCTGAGCTCCAGTGCAAGGACTGGGCATTTGGCCATTTATCCATCACCTGGCGGACTGAGAGAGACACTACCATACTCTTTGTCTCTTTTCCCCCGAAATCTCCTCTTATCATTCTCCCTTTCTCCTTCTACCTTCCTTCCCTTCTCTCAACCATGACCCTTTTATCGGAGGACCAGTCTGTGAGGCCCCAGCCTTAGCTCCCGGAGCCTGGCAAACACATCAGCACTTCTCTGTACCCAACAGACTACACTTGCTCCAAAGAGAACTACATGGACAGTGGGGATAGCACCGTGTTCGGAGCCGTGGAGCCCCCCAGGCGCTCGCGAGGCCGCCTAATCCTCCATGCAATGGTCATGTTTGGAAGGGAATTCTGCTACGCTGTGGAGGCAGCATTCGTTACACCTGTACTCCTGAGCGTGGGCCTGCCCCGCAGCCTGTACAGCTTGGTGTGGCTGATCAGCCCCATCCTGGGCTTTCTGCTGCAGCCCGTCATCGGCTCGGCCAGCGACTACTGCCGTTCGTCGTGGGGCAGGCGGAGACCTTACATCCTGGCCCTGGGCATCCTCATGCTGCTGGGAATCACCCTGTTCCTCAACGGAGATGCTGTCATCTCAGGTGAGAAAGAGATGTAGTTTTACTCTTGTCATATCAGAAAGTGAGTTCATGCTTTGAGTGCCGACTACGCCTTTGATTCAGAGGAAATAAAAGAGAATTAATAACCACTTCTTTCCATCAAAGAAACATGAAATAGTGTAGAGCATACTGTTGAACTCTGACATCGCCTTGATCTCCTTTTATTCTGCTTCTGCTTGGAAGAATAATTGATTTATCTTGTAAACCTCAACGAATGCAAGGCAAACACATGAGGTGTTATGATCTAATTAGATTATCCTCACACTGGTTACATGGTTATAACTTTTACTATCACTTAGAATTTTACCGGCTCAGGCTTCAAATTGGCAGTATGTTCTCTCTAAAAAGAGACACATCCATCAAGAAAAAAACAGAGATTTAACTGGTGGGCATAATGTCCTCAGATGTCTCTTATGGTCACACTTTTTTTTCTGTGGTGAGAGGGGGGGGCACCCTGCAGAGTTTCAAATATTTTAGGCCAACAGTCTAGTCGCAAGACCTTAACACATGCATATGGGTCAATCTCTAGCTAAACTACCATTGGTATAGTGGATTCTATACAGAATTTTTAACTGTAGCAAACCGTGCCTTGCACAACTTGAGGATGAGCAAATGAAGAATGAGATTCCACTTTTATTCCGGCAGCTCAGTACCTATAGGTTCACCTCCCCTGATTGTATGTGTTTGAGCTAGAAGGGCCTGAATTGACTGCTCACACTTTAAACTTGTGACTGAAGTGAAATGTGTGACTGAGCTGATGGCCGGATGATGAGGAAAATCACACTGCACATTAGGAAACAGCTGATAACATTTAAACAACTCGACCCTGTTTTCTGAGAATCCGGCAGACAGCATCACGAGAAGTTCTCTTCCCAAAAGAATCCGTGACCTTTGCAGCCACATGAACAGATTCACTGCTGAGAGTCACAGTGCCGCTGTATTGTTCTTGAAATAAATCATCCTCAATACCTCAATTATTCCTTTTGATTGGATGTTGATGAGAGTATTCATTGGATAGGACAATGAATTGTAGGCTACAAAACATTTGCTCCACATTTTAGGAAATATCCAAAACACTGCAAAAACAGTGACCATGTAAAGTTTGAGGGAGTGTTTGGTTCACCAGTTTGAGAGATCTCTGTTATACTGAAACAGCGGAATTAAACAGGCGAAATAGCAACACAATGTGTATTTAAACTCAGAGTCGAGGATCCTTATTTCAAATCTGAGGCTCAGGTCAAAAGAAAATCTAAATCAGCTTGTTTGAAATCATTTCTTTCTTTGTTGAATGCTCTGATTGTTGATTGAGTTTCTATTAAAAACGTTCCGGGTTTTGCTATAATCATCACACGGACTGTAAGGTATTTCTTTCATCCAATGCGTGCCGGATAAGCTGATTATCTTTCCATGTTTCTCAGAGTTGTGGTGAATGCCACGGGAATCGTGTGACATACGTATTTGCATTGTTGTAACTGCCCTCACCGAATTTCTCTTTTTGTATCATACAGAAAGGTCAGTTCAGTGTAATGATCTGTTGATGAACTCCATGAAATTGCTGTCCATGGTATACATCTATTAACAGACTTTTATATTGTTTTTGTTCTGAACACACTCATCTCTTCCTTAAATCACAAAAGAATCAACTCCATTATGTTCAAAGTATGCATGATATATTTTTAGCCTCATTGTTCCTTTTGTAAGAGAACAAAATAACCCTGGCCTTCGTGATATAATAGCCAGGTTTCTAAGTGAAATTGTCAGATATCACTTTTTTCTGCCAACTCTAAGTGCCTTTCATTGTGCTGTGTGCTGAATTATTTCTCCTGTAACTTTATCCTCTATACTTGCCAGAAATAAACATGCAAATTTGACAGCTCCATCATTAACTGCAGTGCCCGATGTGTGATTATTTCGTTCTGTTTTGCAGCACTAGTCAGCAACAGGTCATTGAGGAGTATATGGGCCATAGTGGTGGTGATGTTCGGAGTCGTGCTGTTTGACTTCGCTGCAGACTTCATCGACGGGCCCATCAAGGCCTACCTGTTTGATGTGTGTTCACATCAAGACAAGGAAAGAGGTCTGCACTACCATGCTCTACTCACAGGTGTGTAACACAGACAAGCACAGAAAACACACACACTGTTGTTGCACTTGCTTCAATATGCATTTTTTTTATTTTATGCTTATTTCTGTCATAAATCTTTTCTCTTTGGCTGTTTTCCAACTTGCGTCTTGATGGACTTGCTTTGAATGAATGGCCATGAATGTGAGTTAGTCATGATGGCACTATACTGAAGGAGATATGAACATTTCAATGAACGATGTCGCTGTCTGAGAGTGGTCTGCATGTTCAGTAAGACTTTGGATGTTTGTTTTTTCATAAGTGTAATAAGACTTTCTTGCCCAGAGTTAGATGAGGGCATTGATACCACGCTCGTTATCGAGACAGCTTAGCTTAGCATAAAGACTGGAAACGAGGGGAAACAGGTAAATAAATCCACCAACATCTCAGAAGTTCACTAATGAAGATGTTGTATCTTGTTTGTTTAATCTCTACAAAGTGTAAAATGGCAAGTTGTTGTTTCATGTGGGGGTTATGTGCCAGACTGTTTCCTGGCTGGCACAGTGGCCATTTTATTTGAGTGTCCAATAATGTGTGTTCAAGAAATATAAATAATTAGTTACTGAGTTCATTTTGGAGTGTTTTAGCTCATTTTGTTGGTTTTACAACCCACAACTTTACTGTTTTGCTTCACTCTCACCGGTCTCACCTCTGTGCAAGTTTATGGTAGTTTTGACACAGAGACATTTTGCTCATTGTTTCACTAATTCGTCATTGAAATCTCGCAATGTGGAAAATCCCTCTCTGTGTTACCAAAAGCAACCAAATGCTTCTTTTTATAATAAGTCTCTCAGGGAATTACAGTGTAACTTTGGCTCACTATTTAAAGCAGAACTCCCTTTTCTCTGTGTAATGTGAGTTTTGGAAGATGAGTTTCAGAACCGAGCGTGACATCTCAGATGGATGTTTGCCACCTTTCCTAAACTTTGAATTGTGTATTCATCAGCCACTTTGATAAAGACATGCTGACATGTTTTCATCTGCTTTTCACCTTCAAGTCAACAATATTTTGCTTAATGGATGAACAGATTCACCACTTGTACTACAGAGCACATTTCTGCAAAGTTCAGGGTTGTATTATGAAAAGAAATGTGATGTTCTCAGCCGGTATAATGGACGTAGGCTGTTGTCAGTCAAAGCATCAATTTGTTTTGACTCCTCATCTGGAATTGGAGATTTACTTCATTTGCATACCATTTATTTGTTCTCTGAAGGGTAAACAAGGCTGCAGTTGCATTTATCACATCCTGGATGAACACACACAGAGAGTTTGGCAGGACCCGTGGACAGCGAATCAATAGCTGTCTCTTTATTTTGGGTGATTTATTAACAATGCGTATCTTAGAGTTACACAGCTGAAGATTGCTTGCTTTATTAACGTATGTAGTAAATAAGATACGCCATATTTAGGTATTATTTCACTTTCAAACCCCTTCTGTAAACCACCATAACCTTATGAAATATGTTCCAAACGAGTCTAAAAAACATACAGGCTCAAGCAAATATTCTTCATACCCTGCAAGGCAAGAGGATGTTTTCAGCGTCAGTGGTGCGTTCAACTGTCAGCAGGCACCGGGGGGTGTGAGCATGCTAGTCAGGCAGTAATCCAGCCCTGAGCTAGTCATGTGCTGCAGTCATGGGTCTGGGCTGAGAGAGACAGAAGCCAGGCACATGACTCTTTAGACGCCCCTGCCACCTCTGGTATGTGAAGTTTGAGGAGGGAGAGAGCTTACTTACTTGCTTGCTTATTTACTTACTTATTTACTACAGCAACAGGTATATAAACCTGGACACATGAATACATAATTCATTTTTAGCCACACTAGCCGTGTGGGCCCGTGAATGACAATGTTGGTCTGTCGGTTCGGTTGGCCGATCGATGGGTTCACCACTTCAGACTGAAACCTATTAACAACTATCAAATGGATCGCCTTGACATTTGATGTAGACATTCTTTGTGCTCAGAGGATGAAACCAGTGACTTTGATGATCCTCTGACTTTCTAATCTAGTCAGTAGTAAGTTGCACATTTGCAAACCAAGTATAAATAAGCAACCTGCCCTTTCGTTTTTGTATTGTGGCCTGGAATCCCACAATGCCCTGCAAAGCGATTTGCTCGTGTGTCATGTGAACCCGCATCAAATTCAACATCAAATTGCGCCTTGCTCATATTAAATCTCGTCCCCTCTCGTTTTCACTCTCTCTGTGTATATCTTTGAAACCGTCCACAGTTGAGCCCCTGTCATGTCTCTGTTTGCTCTGCTGCACTGTGCTGCAATGCGAGTTACTGCAGTGGCAGAAATATACAGACTTGAGGTGACGTTGATGACAGAGAAAGAAAAGGGAGAAGGATCTTGAATGAGAGAAGAGTGATCGATGCAGCACACAAACAACGATGTTCCAGTCTTTTAGGCATAAATGAAGCGTGACCAAAGTGGTTATTACTTTGCCTGCCAGTTGCTATGATGCAGAGAAATAGCCTCGATCTCAGGAGACCTACATTTTTTTGTTATTTAACCATTATTTTTAAGTCATTGACTCAAATCATATGTGCGTGTATATAATTGTGTAAGCATATGATTTAAGAGAGGCATCTGTCAACAAAACTGCTCCTGCTACACAATTTCATACTCATATTTTTAGATCATCCGTGTTGCATACTAACCAACTCATATACTGTACAGGCAACTGACCTATAAAGTGATGCAGATTCGGTGAGGGTTTTCCATCCATTCTGCTGCTCACCTTTCTTGAAGCTCTCATCATTTATATGTCGTATTTTTAGTAAAGAGAGAAGGCTGTGTTGCTCATGAAAGGCACAGAGAGAGATATGATATTTAACACCACACCCGAGCACACGCCATCTGCAGTTGGTGAGCCTTCATCTTAGTGACAACCATGCTAAAATGATATTCACTCGATCCACTGCCTGGACATTGAATTTGAATCATATTGTCTACAGTTTGTAGCCTTGTCTTTCTGCAGTAATCATTTATGAGAATATTCTCCTTCATACAAATGTGGTGTTCATTATTCAATGTGGATATGTGCTCCATGTCAGCCGGGATCATTTCCTAATTGTGCAGCAATTACATTAACTGTGCAGCAGTGTGACAATACACAATGTCATTTGTTCACTTTTCCTTTTTGATACTTATTTTTCCATTTGTGTGTGTGTGTACCAGTGAAAATGAAAGGTTGACACCATCTTTATTCTTTTGTTTTACAGTTTGTCCAGTGCTGTATGTCCAGTAGCCTTGTCTGTACTTGTTTGTACTGTACATCTGAGTATGTGTTACCTTTCTCAATGCATAGTACTATTTCAACAACAGCTATGACAAAAGTCAAAGCTGAAAGTCAGAGAAGGACCCATAATAGCTGATACCAAATTTCTTTTATTTTTTATGCACGCACAACCTAAGCTACTGTATCATCAAACCTAAAAGTAAGAGACACACTGAAATAATTCAAGCAGGTTAAGTACCCGTGTCATTTTAAAGAGGTGCTCAACACTAATATTTTTGCTGCACACATAATCACATAGATTCTTGTCAGCATACAGTGTTAAGACAGGTGACTTTTCTAATAATACACATTTCTACAGTATTTCACCGCTCTCGTTTGCAGCCTCAGCAGGCTGCTGGTCTTCAACAAAAAGCTCTAAAAAGTCACTCTCTGAAAGAGACTTAATTATGCTGGAAAGGAAGAGTTCTTGCAAAATCTGAGGGTGTGCATTATTTATTCCTTAGTAAACTCTGCCTCCAGTGTTTTAACCTTTGCCGCTGTGTATTCCAGGTTTGGGCGGTGCGTTCGGCTATCTGGTTGGAGCTATGGACTGGGGCCACTCTGTGTTGGGTCAGGTGCTGGGCTCCGAGTACCAAGTCATCTTCTTCTTCTCAGCATTCACATGGGGCATCTTCCTCACTGTGCACCTCTTCAGTATTCCAGAGCAGCCTCTGGGCAAGGACCCGTTTGCCTCTGACCCTTCACCTTCCAGTGCCCTCCGCCTACTGGGCTCCCACAGCAATGGTTACGGAGGGCTGGCTAAAGAGCCTGTCTCACCTCCAGTCCCTGCGTCCGTCCCAGACCTCAGGCCTCGGTCCTTCTCTGCTCTCGGAGAGGCCAACTCAGTGACCTCCAGTGCCAAGCAGCCAAACAAGGAGGTATGTGATCTACAGTCTCCGAGGATGCTCGTGTAGATACACGTGGTAAGATGATTTGGAATACAAATTGAATTTATCCATGCTCATGGTCAAAGGGAGACTTTAATATAGCAGTTTAGAGAAAAAGGACTCGTAATGTAGTCTTAATGCAACTTCTATCAAAAAGCTAAGTGGCGGTGAAATGTTTTGTTAACAAGAAAGTGCAGTTGCCAATATTATTAGATATGAGCACATATGGTACCGAGCCTTCACCGACGATATACAGCTTCTATTGTTAACATTTCTATGTTAGGACAATAAAGATGAATGCCTGGTTTAACATAGAAGTGAGTTTCTTAGTTAGCTTCGTTTGTAGTTAGGAGGAGCTTCCTGTTTAAAAGCAAGGTTTTTTTGAGTTTTTATTTTTTAAATTTATTTTTGTTTAGATTTTTCATTTTTAGGCAGCTGTGTCTGGAGCGATTATGTTTCTGGGTTGTCTGTCCGTCTGTCCGTATGTACGTACGGTCCATTCTTATATCTCAGGAACGCCGGAAGGGAATTTCTTCAAATTTGGCACAAACGTCCACCTGAAATCAAGATAGAAGTGACTTGATTTTGGTGGTCAAAGGTCAAGGTATAATGTCATAACTCAAGATATTATATGCTAATCATGACGATTTCACACAGATGTCTAATAAGATAAAATAATTAAGTGATGACATTTTGGACAGACATGGATGTTAACTGCGACTGACCTGCTTGTTTGTCTGGTTTCAACTACAAACAAAATGTACTGAGGCCTCTGTGTGTTCTCACGCCACCACTCAGCCAATCCTTGACAAGAATATTCATAAATCGATATTGTCGAGGGGGATCAGGATCAAATGGTTAACAGGACCATGATCATGATCTGCAGGGCAAATATTCAAACAACCTCGTGGAGATGATATGCAGTTTGGTAAATACGTCCCGTGCAACATAAAATGTCCAATTTAAACAATTTCCTACATTATGCATTGAGTATTGATGAATTCTTTTTGGAACTTTTTTGAACATCAATCAATTAGTCAAACCCTACCAGCTGAGTTGACTTCTGTTTGATGCGTCTTAATGAAAAGAAGAAGGATCTAGCAGAATCATGTGTAGCACCTTCTTCTTAAAACCCACTTCAGTAGTCTCGTAAAGATGTTTGATTAATATTCTCTAACATGTCATGCTCTTGCCTTGATAGTATTTTAGCTCTAATTGTGTTTGTCTTCCTTTTGTTTGATGAAGCACATTAGTGAGGTTATACAGTGATTAGCTGTGAATGGTTTTAAATGTGAAAGATTGCGATGTCATATCAGATCATGCTTCATTTAATGCCTCTGAAGTACTCTTCACACTGATAGTATTGACTTTGTCATCTGCCTTTTCGTCTTTCATCATCTCGTCTCATCGTCTCCAGCCTTTGAGCACAGTCCTTAAAGTCACTGTGTGATCTATATGTTGAATCCCTTCATTCATTCTAATGAGAGCCTTCACGGAGCAGACGTCAGTTTTCATTGTTGAAGCTTTTGAGCTGACCCCTTTAAGTACCACTAATAACATACCGGGAGAGTAATGAGTGCTATGAGAGGAAAATCTGTGTTCCAATCCTGTCAGTGTTGTTGCTGTTGGAGCTGATGTCTGTGGCGTTTGTGTGTATGTGCAGGCCCAGAAGAGGATGACATTCAGGTCGATGATGAAGACTATCATGAACATGCCAAACCACTACCGCTACCTGTGTGTCAGTCACCTGCTGGGATGGACGGCTTTCCTCTGCAACATGCTCTTCTTCACAGACTTCATGGGACAGGTAATGATTTTGAATACCACACATGTGTTCACCTTTCAGGTGTGGCTTATTGTCGATTCATTGTTTGAGTCATTTTTCTGACAGAAATGCTAAATATTTGCTTGTTCCAGCTTCTCAAATGTGAGGATTTTATGCTTTTTTTCTATTTTATATGAAGTGAAAATTGTTGGGTTTTTAACTGTTGGCTCCACAAAATAAGACAAATCAAAATGTTACCTTGGGCTGTGATTTTGAGGATTTTTGCACAGTATTTCTCAGGCTTGCAAAGGTTAGCATCACTTGGCCACAGCGTCATATTCATCCTACAAATGAAAGTAATATCAGTCTTGTGATGAAACTCGCAGCATAAAAGCATAAAAGTGTTTTTTCTCAAAATGTAGAACTATTCCTCTCGAGTATAATTTGTACACTTTAAAAAAACATGTTTTTCTAGCAAAGCCTTATGTAAGATGAAGTTACATGTCAGTATCGTTAATTCGTTAATCATTTAAGTCATATATAAGGCGGAAATGCCATATTCTCTGCCTCCAGCTTCTCAAAGCTTCCATTCTCTTTAATCTGTTTTATATCACTGTATACTGAATATGTTTTGTTTTTTTCAAACTGTCAGGATCTGCAATTTGAAGACGTCACCTTAATTGCAGATTTCCCCACTCATTTCTGACATTTTATAGACTAAACCGTCAATCAAAGAAACAATCCATCAATTAGTCACTGTCAAACAAGGCAAGCTGACAAAGTTAGACTAACAACAGAGTTGAAAAAAAACAAGCTGCAATATGTTTTTACGTTGAAGCTCCATTAATCCCTGTTTGTGTAAGGGGGGCAGACGGAGGGTGAAGGAGGGGGAGTAGCCTCTTGTTGTGTGTAATCTCTGGTTGACATGCGGAATAAAGATGAATTCTTCACAGTTTCCCCGCGTGTAGGCTGATCAAAGGATGCGTCTCACAACAGGACGCACCGCCGCGGTTCATTAACACCCGATACACCAGCATGTAATCTAAAACTGCAGGCTTCATCATCCGGGATGAGAAATGTGGAGTCAGTGGCTTCCTGTTGAGTGTTGAAAGGAAAGAAAAGATGAAAGCCCGAATGAACGAGGATGGCCAACATTTTGATATCTATATCAGTGAAGCTGTGTGCTTCGACTGCATGTTAACATGCTCATTGTCAAATTATTTCTCTATTTGTATTGCAGATTGTGTACAATGGAAATCCTTATGCAGACCATAACTCCACGGCCTACGCCACATATGAGAGAGGTGTAGAAGTAGGCTGCTGGGGACTGTGTATTAATGCTGTGTCCTCTGCTCTCTACTCCTGTAAGTACCTGAAAGCATGCGTGTGTGTTTATTTCACAGCAGCCAGCATTCATTAGTGTGACCATGTCATGAATAGCAATAGCAACTCAACAAGGTTGTGCAGGGAAGCAGGTAGTAGTGAGTAATTACCGCCTCATATTCTATTTGGGATTACAGGCTGTAGTGTGTTGCACAAAGGAAACACACATGTTTCCCCAGCTGATGTTTCATTCAAATCCACAAAGTAGGTGTGCTGTAGTAGCAGTAGTCTTGTAAATTAGCAATTAAGTGTGAAAGGGAGGGAAATAATGTGCTTCATGCAAAGCAAAGTTCAGCCAAATAACAAAGCACTGGCATCACTGTGCCTCTGAGTGTGAAATTGGCTCTATTTAGTCAGGGTGCTGAGAAATTTATTTCACGTGTTTGTTGTTTTCTCTTAACATTGCAGCTCTGAAACGAAAGGTAGCCCGTCCTATGAAATGTCCAGTCAACTTTAGCAAATCTAATGCACACTGTGGAGGGTTTCATAATGTTTCTATCAACATCTTTTAGAGGCATAAAAGACAAAGCAGTTGTCACCTAGTCCAAACTTCAAGTGGGTTTGCTGTGATTCTCAAGTAAAACTACTTTCCTCATTGATGACGTTTGTGTGTTTTCAGACGTGCAGCGTTTCCTCCTCCCGTACATCGGCCTGAAGGGATTATACTTTGTGGGCTACTTTGTATTCGGCATGGGCACCAGCCTGATTGGCCTCTTCCCCAACACCATCGCCACGCTCATCCTCTGCACCGTATTCGGGGTCATGTCCAGCACGCTCTACACCATCCCATTCAACCTGATAGCGGAGTACCAGTGGGAAGAAGAGGTACTAAGCTGACAGAAGGAATGTTTTTCAGGGTTGACATGCATTTGAGTAGAGGAAAATAAACATTGTGCTCAACCAAAAGACAAAAACAGAGAGCTGGGGGGTGTGCCATTTAATGCTTCACACACCCAAATCAGTTAGGATTGAGTTCAAGTTCTTTACTTTTCAGATGCACTACAATTACATGAGCAAGCAGCCCTGAGGGGCTCAAGTGTCGAGAGTCAGGGTGGATGACCTGCTGGTGCTCATCCACACAGCCTGGGGTCGGTCTGTCAGAAAGCTCAGGGTCCAATCACAGAGGGCGGTGTTGAGTCCCATTTCTCTGTGAGCTCTCTGTTTCTGAGCTTGAATGTAGAAACGTACATAGCACAATGGTGTCGAATGCTGAAATATAATGAACAGCTTTCTCACATATATAACTCTGGTCCTGATGGGATTGGGCACTGTGGAGGTTTAGGGTAATGGCGTCATCTGTAGATCTGTTTGGTCTGTTTCAATGAGTCAGGGCGAGAGGAGGCAGAGGGCTTTTGTTCTTTTTGCGGACACAGACAATGTTTGATGTTCCTTTTATTCAGTTTTGAATGTCAGAATGTTTTTCCTTCGGCTCAGCCTTCTTCAGTTTGCAGTTGAGTTCTTTTAACTGTTCACCAGCAATGAGTGTCAACAGACATTTTTCACAATTTTATAGACAAAATAAGTAATCGAGAAAACCATCTGCAGATTAATCGATAATAGAAAATAATTGTTAGTCATTGAAAACAAATTAGCATCCTAACTTATTTGGGTGTGAAAATCCCATTTAGTATTTTTAGGTTTGATATGTATTGAAATTACTGAGTGGCGTGTATTTATTAATATTTTAATTCCATAAAGTTGGCCAGACAGAAAGGATAAAATGAAAGAGATACTTTTAGTTACCCTGTCTGGTAATATTCTCACTTTCAGTTGAGCCCCAAGTCAAAACTGAGATTACTCTGAAAGCTCATGTAAAAGACATTATTCAGTTGAGTAGTTGTGAATGACCGTCAGGTGTAAAATTGGTTTAGTGCCACTTTAATTCAAGTTACTTTATTACACCAGGAAAATGCTCTTAGTATCAATAAACAATAAAAGCGGACTCTATAATTAAACAAAACATAACTTTTGATTCTGCTTAATGAACGAGTTTACAAATTATTCCCATTCAGAACATCATATCTGACAACTAACATCCAAACAAGTGCAGCCTCATAAATAAATCATAACATACATCTTCCCTGTAGCTTTTATTAAAAAATCAATGACTCAAAGAAAAAAAACTATTTCTGTTTGTTTTGATGTGTCCCGGCATGCTCAGTCAATACCTCATTAAGTTGAACCAGGGGAGCTGGTGATGAAATTTAATAGCATGTGGCTGAGATGCCCGAGGAGAGCTTTATTCATCATAAAAAATACAGATACTAAAAATAATATATATGAGATGGTCTCATATATGAGATGGTCTCATATATGAGATGGTCTTGGTGTTTCCCGGGGATAATTCTTTTTTACCCATTGATTGCTTTCTGCACTGAGCATTTTTGTTAATACAGAAATTACATCAAATATTGCCCCCCCCCCCTCCTCCTCCTCCCTCAGGAACAGCTGAAGCTGCGAGGAAGCATTGTAAGTCAGCGAGGCTCCGGGGTGGACTGTGCCGCCCTCACCTGCATGGTCCAACTGGCTCAGATCATTGTCGGTGCGGGTCTAGGAGCTCTGGTCAACATGGCAGGAAGTGTAATCGTGGTGGTGCTTTCGGCCTCGACCGTGTCCCTGTTCGGCTGCATCTTCATCGCTCTCTATATCAGAAATGTGGACTAATTCTGCTTATGTAAAAGTATTTAATGGTATTGTTTTAATAAATACAGATTCTATATTATATCGTCAACATGTCTTTGATTCTTGTGATTCCATTAATTTGACTAATGGGACAGTTTTCACCTTGAGGTGGCACAGAAATGGGTGTTTTTCCAGTATGTTGTGGCACAGGAGGCCAGATAGTTAATATTTATTTATTGGTTTATTTGATAAGGGACATTGCACATTCATAAAAACATTGCTGTAAATGTGCCAGAGTTAGCCAAGAGGCTATTTTTCATCTGTAGTCCGAAGAGGCAGATGTAACAAAGTAAACCTAAAAACAGAAACAACACACGCTTATTTGCCGTCTTGCTGAGAGTTAGATGAGAAGATTGATGCCTTCCTTGACTTTTCTTCTACCCCTAACCCACGGGATATCCCCGTTCCTTATGTGAAATGGAAGTCAAAGTTGAAAATTTCTCACGTAGCTGTTTTCAGTAACAGCCCTTCCGTAGTTATGTTAATGCAAACGACGATCTTTTCCTAAACCTAACTGAGTAGTTTTGTTGCCTGAGCATAAGTTGTATTCTGTGAAGATGGAAGGTTATGTTGAAAAGACTGATTCAATTGAATTTATTTTGTATAGCCCAAAATTTCAAACAAATCCCAAATTTGCCTCAGAGCGCTTTACAATCTGTACACATAAGACATCCTCTGTCTTGGGACCCTCACATCGGCACAGGGAAATGTGCACAGAATGAACAACACAATTCAATGCTTATGACATAAATCATTCATATAATGAGAGTATTAAGCAGAATAATGACGGGAAAATTGCGACTATTAAAAATAACAGCAGCAGTGATAGTAGAACAATGATAATAAAAGCAGTAATATTATTGTTAATAGTATTAACGTGACTAATAATAATAATGAGCAGTAGCTGGCTTTCGTAGGAAAACGCACAAATGAGGAGTTACTTTTTGTAAGATATCCTACAAACCGTTGAATGAGGATACGTTGACAGTTGTAACGAACTGCAGAGACCAAACTATTTTTTTGCACCAGGATGTCGACATGTTTATTTTTGTTTCAAAGTTAAGCATTTTATCATGGAGGTCTGTGGGTTGTGACTCACTTTTGGAGCCAGCCTCAAGTCCCCATTTGAAGAACTGCAGTTTTTGGCAATTGCGTGTTGGCTTCATTTTTCATCACCGGAGGCTGCCTGCTCTAAATTCCATATTGAGCATCTTTAAATCAAGGACCTGGGTACTTCCAACACTGGCAGTGAAACATATTGTACATCATAATATTATGCATATTCCTTTTTCAATAAAGTAGAAAGAGATTTCTTTTTTTAAAGATTTCTAACAAGGTAGTCAAACTTTTTTTGCGAGGGAAAACATATCAGAAACCCATTATTCTTCAAAGCAGAGCACTTTTATACGTCTGAAAACATGTCTGGCTAGTTTGTCAGCTATTTCACTTTTTTCACTGGATTTTAGGTTCGGGGGCGACAAATTGGGGGCGTCTGTGGCACAGTCACAGTCTGGTAGAGTGGGTCGTCCTTCAATCAGACGATCGGCAGTTCGATCATTGGCTCCGCTAGTCCATACCGATGTGTCCTTGGGCAAGACACAAAATTGCTCCCGTAGGCTGTGCCTGCGGTGTATGAATGGGTATGACATTTCGACAGTCCTGATGGGCAGGTGGCACCTTGCAGCACTGCCATTAGTGTATGAATGGGTGTGTATGGGTGACATGTGTAAAAGTGCTTTGAGTGGTAGGAAGCCTAGAAAAGCGCTGTAATACAGTCCATTTACCATATACCATGGTTAAAAACAAGTTCTCCCTCTGTTCTCCTTATTATTTCTGTTTCTACCCCCCAGGCTTTGTAAAGAGGCTCAGTTGTCGAAGCTTGTCATACTTCTTCTTCTCTTGTTATCCACTTATTATAATACATCAACATCGACAGAAGAAAGGTGCTGCGTCTGACGCCACCATTATTATTTCTGCCAACATTTCACAGGTTTTAGGTGTTTATGGCTGTGTCTCAGGCCCTTTCAAATCTATTTTCAAATGGAAAATGGACTGCATTTTTAAAGCGCGTTTCTACCTTACTGGACAAAACTAAAAAGCTTAACAATTTTCCTCTCATTCATACACCATTAATGGTGGAACTGCCATGCAAGGTCGCTTGCCTGCCCATAGGGAGCAACTTGGGGTTCATTGTCTTGCTCAAGGACATCCACATGTGGACAGGAGGGGCCGGGGATTGAACAGACAACCTGCTCTATCTCCTGAGCCACTCGTTTTTCAATGAGGGAGAAAGAATTTTCAAGAAAGTAATCAAAGATAATTGATTGAAAAAAAAATTTGTGGTGCACAACAAAAACACTTTCCTAGACATCCAAAACACATCAAAGGCTCTCCAGCTCCCTGGGAGATCAATTGAGATATTAGATATTATTACATAAATTATATTTGATTCATGTAATTTTCTTCCCCTCAAAGGGGATTTTACAAACAGATGAAATGCTTACTGTGTGAGAGTAAACTGATTTGCGTGTGTGGGATCGTGATTTAATCATTCTGATGTACCAATGCAACTTGACAATTACTTATAATTACACTAGATTTGCATGGGCGTATGAACACGCAATGATACCCTTTGCTTAGCTGCTTAATTGAAAAATAGTTTGGTAATTGTCTCAGGATGTTGATTGTAATGTGTGCGTTTGCCAGACTCCTGCAGTCTTATCGCTGTCAGATATATGCACACACACACACACGCACACACACGCACACACACACACACACACACAAACCATAGTCAGCAGCAGGAGAAATGGTTGTGGGGAAATCAACCAAATTAGTTTCATTAGATTATTTATTTAAATAAGACTACTGAATCCAGACCTTAATTGAATCCCGCCCTTTCTATTAAATCTGGGCCCCAATTAAAATAACTTCCATCTATCCAGGATGACTGAACTTTCAGAAGCAAACTGTGCATGTAATATCTGACTGTAAAGGTCAAATCAACCAGGCATCCATATCTGACTGTCCTTACTTTTAAAATAAGTGAAAAAATAATAAGTTGATACTGAAGTTGTTCTGGTTTATTTATCCTAAATAAATCACACACGCACTCACTGCCAGATCATTTTCATGTCTACCCGGCCGTTTGGCTCGTCCTGTTCCCGGTTTTCCCCGTCTGCCTGCCTGCCTCGTCCTGGATTTCCCCCCTCGTCTCTTGTCTCGTCCGTGGATTCCCTGTTATGTTCCTGCACGTTTTCGGTTCTGTTTTCACATTTCATTAAATACCTGCTTCACTCTGGTCTGGTCTGCCTTTGAGTCCCCCACCACACCCCGTGACACAGCAATGAGACCACATATACCTCTCAAGACTATATGCAGAGATGTTCATATAAATGTAGGTCTCATACCCTATTTATATGCATCAGTCCAACTTTTTCTCTCCATGAAGTGCACACCAATTCATCAGATACCAGTGCTCTCCCTTTCCCCCACATTTAAAACCTGTGCATCATTGTTCATCCTCATTGACAAGAGTGTTGAACAAATACAAGGGACAGCAACTGTCTCACATATTGTAGATGTACTTTACTTGCACATTATTTATTTATTTTTTACATTTTTGGACTGACTTGGCACATTCAAAATACTGTTTGTCTTCTTAGCACAAAATAAATGATTGTGAATAACAGAAAAAAATGCATGTGAACAACTGAGATGTGGTCATATATGACATTTGCTGATCTTTTCTCGCCTTTTTTAGACGCAGATCCAACTTGAACTCCGGCTTTCCTGGAGCAGCAATAAACATATAAATAACAATCAAAGACGAAAAAAATAATTGTCCATGTGGCACTTTAAGTTACAGGCCTACGTGCTGTTTTGAGGCAGATCTCGCCGGTCATTGTACATAACAGCCCCCGGAGGATAGAACACAACAGCGGGCTCCTCGGGCGCGCTGACGGGGACCATGACTGGCTCTTGATCGTCCATCGCTGGCTTTGTTGTGGCCGTGATCGGCTTTATTGTCGGCGAAGTCATCTGCCAGAAAAGTTTTTTCAGCGCTTTTCTGAACTCCCGCCTCATCAGGCAGTACAGAATCGGGTTCAGGCAGCTGTTGGAGTGCGCCAGGCACACGGACACGGGGAACACGTACACCTGCGTGGTGTAGTATTCATAACTGAAGTGAACCACGTTGAGTTTAATGAGGATGCCCCAGGCTGTCAGCGCCTGGTTGGGCAGCCAGCAGAGGAAAAAGGATAAGACCACTATGGTTACAGACTTGGTGACCTTCGCGCGTCGCTTGGCGCTCGAGCTGTTGATGTTTTTGGAGGTGATGGAGCGTAAAAGGAGCAGGTAGCAGGCTGAGATGATGCCCAGCGGCAACACGAAACCCAGCAGCACTTTCTGAGAGTGATACAGTCCCAGCCAAAACTGCGCGTTTCCGTTGGTTTCCGGGAATTTGACAAGGCACAAGTCCTCACTGGAAACGCTCACGGTCGTGGAGAAAACCGCGTGCGGGAGCGCGGCGGAGACAGCGGCGATCCAGATGAAAACAGTGATGCACCGCGCAGGGAAGCAGTGTGGCCGCCGCCGCCTGCCCTTGAGCGCAGAGGCGAGCGACCAGTACCTCGTCACGCTCATAGCGGTGAGGAAAAACACGCTGGCGTACATGTTCATAGCCGTCACATAGGAGACTATCTTGCACATCGCCTTGCCGAAAATCCACGTAAAGTCCAGCACGTTTTCCACCGCCCAGAACGGCAGAGTCAGCACGAACTGGAAGTCCGTCAGCGCCAAACAAGTTACGAAAAGGTTGATGGAGGATTTTTTCCACACATGTTTAGACTTCATCAGGTACAGAACCAGTACGTTTCCAACCAAACCCAGCGCGCACACCAGCGAGTAAATGACAGAGATTATAATCCTCACAACAGCCGCGCCATCTCCCACCAAATCTGTCTTGTTGAAGTCTGACAGGTGGAAGAAGTCACTGTCTGAGCTGTTGGTCGTGTTGAAAATGCAACTGAGGTTGGTGTTTGCGGCATAGACTATCCCTGCTGAGGTTTCGTAGTTAGTGTCTACTGACATGTTTAACTTTAATCCCCGAGGATGTTTCCTAAAGGCATGCCTCCGAATCCTCGTGGATTTCAGGTTATTAATACAAATAAGGTGAAAAAAGGTGCAGGTTTTCTGTGAATCGAAATAAAATAACTGCTGTGTATTCCTGACAGGTGACAACGATTTTCATCAGTAATGCTCACCAATTTTTCTCATGCGCGTATCAGCTCTCCACCCTTGAGAAAGCGACTGGGTGAAGCATGAGCGCCAGTAGACAGTGCAGGCATTGTGCACGCATATTATTATTGAGCGTTTTCACATCACTCCGCAAAGAATATCTCTGCTCGCGCAAGCAAGATTGTAACCAAGGAGAAAAACATTTCTTTGACCATTTTGACATACACTCTGTGTTAAAGTCCCCATTTCTGCCAGTTTTGGGATGTATTGGAGAGCTAATTACTGTATTTAGAGAGACGTTTCACAGGTTTGACTAACACAAAAAACACATCTTACTCTGTGACCTAAGGATTTATTCCCAAAAAATCAGAGCTGCTGACTAAAAGAACAGTAAAAATACTCATGAAGACATATTTGATGAGTTTTATTTTGTGTCTATTTAGTTAGACTGAAGTCTGTTTTATCATAAGTTAACAAAGCACTTAAGCCTGTCTTGTGGTGTAAAAGAGAAACTTGAATTCAGAAGGTTTACGTTTTAATTTTTCTGTTTAGGTCTAAAAATATTTCCTTTGTTGACATGAGAGTTTATATTGTTTATTTATCAGACTAAAAGCTAAGATAGCTTGGAGCAAACTCACCGCGCCAAATAGCCTCATGGTGCATTCACACCAAACGCCGTTTGGTGTGAACACGGCATAAGAGAGTAAAGATGGACGACAGTAAATCTGAACGTTATGATGTAATCTAACTTTCCCTTTCATGCTCTCAAAAATTGATTAGATTCAGTTTGAACATACTGCTTAATACATGAATACAACATGAGGCAAATTATATTTGCACCTCTTTATGTGTTACAAATACAGTATGTATATCATTTGACATTTTGCCCTTTTCACCAGTTGCACATCAAACCCATAGATGAAAGAATATGATTTCAAAGTGATGCATTAGATTAGGCACTTATTCATAATGCGTTATAGTTTTATCAAGTCAGCGGGGCGTGAACTCCGTCCACATTGATGTGTTTGGCCCCCTGATGCATTTTCTACTTGTGGAAATCAAAACGAAAAACAACATCTGAACCATGTAATCCTTCACTAAACATTTACCCTTTGAGCTTGCGGCAAGTCCCTCTGCAGCACAAACGGCGAAACATTTATGTCTGTGACAGGAAAAAATAAATCTCCACTGTAATCCGTTTTCATCACACCTATGCGCCATCACACTAATGGTTTCCCGATCATCCCTCTTGTGGACATCTTGACAGCTAATGACACTGTTGTGTTTACCCGCAGCCTCCTAAAATCTCTGACTAAAATGTCCCTTTACTAGAAAATTGATTTGGTTCACATGAATCTGATTATACGATTTTCATGCTACTTTTGGCACTCATAATGTTAAATTATAGTCCTGGCCATGCAATTAAAATAGCAGATGTTTTAATGTCATATCTGGTTGAGATGGAATTAGCAGTTTAATTAAGTAACTCAGATTTACTGTGTCATAAATGATGTGCTCATTTTAGGTTCCTGAAACCTTTAATCAGCAAAGTATTTAGAACCTATAGTTGTTAGATAAATGGAGTAAAAAATTAAATATGTTATAGTATTAAGCATACATTAGAAATAACTCATAATGTTACGTTTTTGTCTGTGTTCAGCATTTTAGAAGTTGTGATAGGTGTTCTGCTGACCTCCAGTGTTACTCATGCAAACTACAAAAACTGCACACATATTCACGTATTGATTTGATACAGCGCATATACACACACAGTGAGTTTATGAAAGTTTTTTTTTTTTTACTATGTCTCAGCTTCAAATCAAACATCTACATCAGTCTGGCTGGTATCTGTTTTTCTTATAAGCCTTCAGACACACCCCTCATATAGAAACTCCGGCATTCCTCAGCTGTCACTCTTTTGAAGACAGCCGGCACACAGGCCACCTGGAATTAGGTCAAAGATCCTGACACCTGTATTGTAAACAGAGCAGAGAATAGATGTCCTTCAGTACAAAGCTGTAGGCTTTTGTTTCCCAGTTGTGAGAAAAAGGATATATAACTTCTTCGAGGTGTTTTCAGTGTATTCGGTGCATTTTAATCCATTCTCCTCATACTTCGTGTCGTTGTTGCCTTGGCAAATATTTTGAAATGAGCTGACTCTTTCAGGCATTTTGAGGCAAAGCAATTCACGACAGCAGAAGCCAAGCACACATCAGTCAGGTCTTAGCTTCTGTAAAATTAAATAAGGTTGAAGCACTAAACAAACACATAGAGCCAGGATTCAATTCCAGCAGCGACCAAAACAATACTTAATGAGGTTTTTGAAAGAGACTCGGGAAATATAAATGCAGCTAACCCAACACTGAAACCATTGTCTCATGCATTCACATCTTCCCGTATTGAATAAGATACATTTGAAAGAGTAGAACCAAGGACAAAGTCAGATAGAAGATAATTCCCTTGTACCAATAGGGAATCAGTCACAATAATTAACAGGACGATACTGCATAATGTTCACACCCTCACACTGGAATGTGTTGGCTCCTCCGACACTAGCTGGTTGTACAGCACCATAGCAACACAACAACTGTAACCAAAGTATCATCACGTGAGAGGGAGCCTAATCGTCACTTCATCTCAGCATGTCTTGCTCATTTGTTTAAATTATAATTTTGCAAATACTGCAGTTTAAAAATTTGACACTAGAACAAGGTTGTCAGTAGTTCATGTGACGAAGTATGAGTCTGTGGTGGTCTTCTGAACTTGAGCTCATGGGTCTGTGATGAGATGAAAACAGTCTGCAGACTGAGTAACGTTTCTTAGAAATTGCCATGTAGCCTTGAGTTAGAAACACTATGTAATGTGGGTCTCATTGCACTGGAGTTTAAGTGTTTTATGTTGATCTTTTTCCGGACAAATTATTTAAATGGACAGCACATATACAGTCAACATATTTATTGATAGGTGGCATATAGATAGCGGGAGCAGACTTCACTGACTCTGCCCTCTTCCTTCTACATTTAGATGCAATTGATACACATACTGTACATATACACGGTTAAAACAACCCTGTGAAAGGCTGACAGTTTGGAAAGTGTCTCATACAGTGGAGCACTTTCACCTCAGTTGAGCCTACACACACAGGCTCGGCTGTTCTGCTGCTGTAGCTCGGAGGCTGCTCGGCTCCAAATATACAGTTCAAAAAAGCCTCCAGCACAAGTTCTCCTTGTCCTCCTCCAACCCGGGAGTCCAGAACTGCAACCTTGTAGTACACGGAAGGCTCTGCTTGCATTGCTAATGTTGATGAGTAACAATATTCTGTGTGGGTTCACATGGAGGCGTTGTGGATAGAGGAATAAATAATGATGTTTGTGATTTAGATCAATAGTTTACCAGTTTACTAGCATTAAACTAAGTAGAAACAACATGACACATAGATACAGCATACTGAAACAGTATTCTGTAGCTGCTGGGACTTGTAATATTGCACATTTCTATACATTAAATGGTCTATGTATGTGACAGTGGAGTGTCCTTACACAGTCCCATTCCTCTCTTTTTTCAGTCGAAGTGTCTCCCACGCAAACGAATATTCTGATCACCTGTTATTGCCGGCTGCCAGTTGGTGCCACAGCTTTTTTCGACATAGCAACAACTGATTGAGCGCTATGCAGTCAGCAGCTACAAGCGGCTGTTGCTGCACAGCATCGGGAAAAAAACGTCCAGCTCAACACTCGCCTCCAACTTGTGTTTATCGTCTTCTTTTGTTCTGAAGCTTCATCAAATATCCAGACAAGGCTGCCATTTAAGAGGAGGGTGCAGACTCCTGTTCTCCAGCTGGATCTAACACAGCCTTTATCCACAAATGTCCCTTCTCCATTGTGCAGGATTCAGTCCTGTCCTGCACATAGGAGGGACCTCCTATGGCACGCTGCCGTCACTGTGAGACAAAAGGCAGCAGCTGTCACATGAAGGACAAAATCCCTCATTGTCTAAACAATTCCCAGACTTGTGGTCGCGCACACTTCTCATACAGTGTTGGTATGTGGTGGCTCTGCGGAGTCTGCCGTTAAGGTCGTGTGTGTCGTGCTGGTGTCCATCATGGGGAGCTTCTCTGTCCCGTTCCTTGGTTCTTCCCTCCGTCTTCCCCTCCGCCAACATAATCTGCACCTGCAACTGACAGAGACCTCATTTATACGCAGCAGTAATGGCAAAAGCTGTTCAATAATCATGGTTCTGTTTTAAATGAACAGGTCAACAACACTGGAAAATATGCTTATTCACTTTCTTGCCGAGAGTTAGATGAGAAGATTGATACCACTCACATATCTGTGCACTAAATATAAAGCTGGAGCCAGCAGCTGGTTAGCTTAGCTTAGCATTAAGACTGAAAATAGGGGGAAACAGCTAGCCCGGCTCTGTTCAAAGGTAAGAAAATTCACCTGCCAGCACCTCGAAAGCTCACTAATTAGAATGTTACATCTAGTTTTTTTAATACATAAAAACATATAAAACCAAAATATAAAAACCTGATTGAATAATAATTTGATAAAAGACTAACAAATATCTGTTCTTTGATAAAAAGTCGAAGCCTAAAATCTTGAGGGAAAGGTTAACTACAAATTCCGATGTGCATTTTGGCAACAAACATCCAGTCACCTAGCTTAACATTCTGTGATGTGCGCTGCTAACGAAGGATGAAAGCCAAAGATTATGTTATCAAGAAAACCAATTTTACAATCAGTTTATATCAATTAACTTTTGGATTTTGGGTCAATTTTGCCAACTATGACACCTATAGTCTCGTTCACAAATTCAACAAAGAAAGGCATTTTGAATTTGATACCGTGAAGGCCCAGCTGTGAAGGCCCAGGTATAAAATGCACGGCCCGCCACTGATTTAGACCCATTTGCCCAAAAATTGCTTTTTTTTGTTCAGAAACAAAAACTAAGGAGAGTGTTGTGTTTTTAGAGGTGGTGGTATGTAGATTTTTATTAACTTTGGACATAGCAATCAAACTGTTTACCTCTGTTTCCAGTCTTTATGCTGAGCTAAGCTAACCGTCTCCTGGCTCTGGCTACATCTTTGACAGGAAAGAGTGCGGTATTAATATTTGTCATCTAACTCTCATCAAGACAGCGAATAAGCACATTTCCCAAAAATGTCAAACTATTCCTTTTAGTACATTGTGTACATTAGTAAATCACATTTTTTTTCTGTCGCAAAAGCACAAAAGCTTACTGTGAACAAAAGGTGATGAATACAATGACGAGAATGAGGAAAACGAGCCCTGCGATGATGCAGGCAATTATGATTTGTCGTTTCTCTCCTATCCGCCAGTCTAGGTCCAGATATTCACACCTTGAGCCAATGTAACCCTGCTGACACCTGACACAAATAAAGGGGAAAAAAAATACTTTAATTTATTTTATGTAACAGACAATAAAACAACGCTACTGCCTCTTTCATCTGTTCTGTTATAACTCTAGTGACTTTCAATTTCTCTTTCCCGTTACACTTTTCTTGATCGCCATTATCTCCAGCAGACATCTCTCACCTGCATGACGGTGCCTTCTGTTCTTCAACGTAACGACACTCCCCGTGGATGCAGTAGGTTGTTAGCTCCTCGGGACATTTTGAAAAGTGGCCGGTCCACTGCTCTGTATCTATTGTGCCAGCTGGAGAAATGAAATCACAACATTTACAATTAGTTTCAGAATGATTGTGTTCAGACAATTCAGTCTAACAACATTCCATCATCTGCATATAAACTAATCAACTAAAAAAGTATGACTTGTGAAAGGAATAGTTAAGCTTAAATGTCAAACTATTTCTGTAGGTGTGTCATGTTCTGTCAGCTTGCTTCTTTTCACACCCTCATTTCTGGCATGGCTTAATGGTATAAATAGACTGTTTGCAATACGATCCTGAGAGAAGTCCTGGTGAATCATTGCCGGGAAAGGCCTAGTGTCGTCAAATTCTCATTAACCATGTGTCTCAATTATTACAATTCCTCACTAAGTGAAACACATGCTGAGGTGGGATACAGTTACACATCAATATCCATTCTCTGTCTATCTCTTCTCTCTAACTTGCTCCATAAAACACACCCTAACACAGCTACTAGTATAGGCCATAATGCTGAACTTCTGACCCCGACATTACACATAGTGCTTCTTATGCTACAAGCTGCCGCTATCTTTGCAAGCTTGTAAACGAATACTGCTGTTCGGGCTCTCTCATCAATGACAGCGCTCCAGTTGTTTGCTGAAACAGGAGATGAGGCTTGCTGCCATGGCCTCATTGTTGAAAAGGAAAATATCCAGTTACAAAGTTCACAGGAATAGTTTGGAATACGTGTTTATTTGCGTTTTGGTGAGACATTCGTTAAATATGAAGCTAAAGCCAGCAGAACTTGATTAGTTTAGCTTTTCTTAACGGGAGAACAGCTAGCCTAACAAATAAAAATGTCCACCAGCACCTAAAATAACAAACTAACACATTATTGTCACGGGGCATGGTGAGGACTCAAGCGCAGATAGCCAGATGCAGTGAGATAAAGGGTTTTAATGAAATACGAAGGCACACAGGGAATCCAAGGACGAGACAAGTGACGAGGGGGCAAATCCAGCAGGACGAGGCAGGGCAGGCAGACGTGGGAAACCGGGAGCAGGACAAGACAAACAGGCGGGTACAACACAAACAATGACCTGGCAGTGAGTGACTGAGAGACAGGGGTTCATAAGGTGACTTGAACAGGTGAGGAGAGTAGTGCTGATGAGGAAGAGCTTGATTACTGATCAGGGACAGGTAAAGGGAGTTGGACTGGTGCTGAGGGAGTGGCTGAGTTAGACTGGCGCTGAGGGAGTGGCTGACAGGTAGAGTGCTTGATTGGCGGCAGGTGAAGGGAGTTAGGCTGAAGCTAAACAAAGACACAGAACACACAAGGCAAAGCCTGATCGTGATAGTTATATTTAATTTGTTTCATCATTACAAAATCTATACTACTCCAAAAATAACAAGCTGTGGCTTTAGAAGAGGATTGAGGGATGAGTTGTCTTATTGTGAAGTTAACCCGCTGTTCATACTTAGCATACAGACATGCGAGTGGTATCAATCTTAAAGAAAGCAAGGAAGCACATGTCTCAAGATGTTGAACTAACCTTTTTATATTATTGTTTTGATAAAGCAGCTCCTAAATCATTTGTTCACTTGTAACAAACATTTTATTGTTTTTACCAAAAGGCAAACAAAGACAAAAAAACTGAATTACAAGACCAATTTGTTGAAATTGGAATGAATACTTGGAGTCAGTGCCTCTGCAGAGGAGAATTTGCTAACAGACAGTTTAATTATTCCTCTTATTTTTCCCCCTTTTAAGTGTTTAAATGCGTGTTTGTGTATCTGTGCTTTGCCCATCTTGCAATGAAACATCCACCTTAAAACCTCAAAGCAATCATTTATGACACGGCCCTGCTCCCCTCCCCCTCTCCACCTGTCTATATCTACCTGTGCAATTGTCTCCGTTGCCATGATGATGACAGAGGGACTCAGTTCGATTGGCAGACTCGTCGGTGGCATTCCATTCTGCCAGGGAGTATTTGCATAAGGCCAGAGCTGCAGCCAGAAACACAAACAAAAAGCTGATCACACACACACACACACACACATAGGCTACACAATCACAACAAACAAATACATGCACATGCACAATTGTGGAAACAAATTTTAACCAATTTGTGATCACATTGCACATAAATAATAGGATTTACAGAAGAGATGACGGGGAGAAACCCATGATCACAATCAGAGTTATTAAAGAATAGCTACTGAGTCACAATGACAGCCTTTTAGGGTTGGAGATTTCTCTCGTTCACGCCCACTTTTGTCTCTCTCTCTCACACAGACACACACACAGACACGCACACACACATACTCTCTCTCACACACGCACACACTTTCACTGCTCTAAACAAAAAGCATATAAACTGGCCTGGCCACTCTTCGAGCAGACATAAAGTCTACCACAGACTCGGTAGCTCTATACATATATGAGGATATTGTAATGTCATATTTAATTCCACGTTGGGGACGACTGTTTTGACAATGACTACTAATCACAGGCAAACTATTGCTGGTGTATTTATTCAATCATTAACCAACACTGAAGTCTACTGTACAAATATAGCTCATGGGAAGAGCACTGTATTTAAAGCTGCATTACTTTGAAGACACATGGATGATGAAAAGGTCAAAATAAGATCAAGATAAGATCAAAACTCATACAATGCCGTATGTCCCTTGAGAAGAACATTATCACTAGAGGCACACGTAAAAAATAACAATTATATGTAAATGTCGGTCTGCCAGTCCTGTGTTTACAACCAACAAGTAGAGAAAGTGAACATGATGAAAGAACAGTCGATCTTACCTGTTACTATCACTGCATAGAGTCTGTACACCTTCGCCATCTCCTCACTTGATAAAAGCGCTCGTGCGGAACATGAAAGTTCAGTGTCATTGACAAATAGAGATGAAGCTGGATTAATCCTTCCTCAGAGGTCGATGACCTTTGAAAAAGGTGTGGACAAGCGGTGGAAGTTCCCCAGTGCTGTTTCGTATTGTGGTCCTTCATTGATGGCAGTTAGGCTCATAGTCATACAGGAAAGCTTGAGGCTATAACCAGAGCACACACACAGCCCAAAGTATCTGTCTGGACTGTGAGTGGACTGCACTACCGTGTGTGTGTGTGTGTGTGTGTGTGTGTGTGTGTATGTGTGGGAATGGATTCAAAAAAAGGGGTGGCACTGAAACCTAACTCTGCTCCCCGCCCACACCTTTAAAGGAGAATATGACTCCATTGAAGCTATGCAGGTTATTTCCTCTTCAAAGGACAACTGCACCTTTATACCATGGCTTTCCTTTTCTTAATAATGAAGCGGGAGGCAGGAAAGCTCATTGACAATGAACAACAGCCTGTTTAACAGCAGAGCAGTTCAGGGTCCATTTATATTTTCCATTGTGCTGTCTTCTGGGGGAACGTGCACATGCATATGAACTGTTTTCAAAGTTTGCTGGTCCAAACTGATCTAGACTGATTCCTGCAGGGTACGAGTCAACTGATAGACAGTTTAATGTGAAAGTTCAAATGGTTACAACTAATACTTGTACTTTACTTGAGTATTTCCATTCCCTTTTACTTTATACTTCACTACATTGCAGAAGGAAGTATTGTACTTTTTACTCCGCTGCTTTTTTTACAGCTGTAGTTATTAATTACTTTTACAAATTTGGATTTTTACAAACAAAACATATGATTAGCTTATAAAATATTAGGCATTACTATAATATAGCATAAAAATACTTGAAATGATCTCCCAATAAATCAGTGATAAAGATTCTTTAACTTGTAATAGTTAAAGTACTTGTAATTGGGTTTTCTACATTATTGTATTGCTTCTTTTAGTGAAGTAAAGTATCTGAATACTTCTTCCACCACTGGCTGGGGCTGTTTTGGGAGAAATGAAGCGTGACCAGCAGATGGCATAAGTTGACACTTTCCTTTAATAGTTAAATAACTAGTTTGAACAGTAAATTGTACTCAGTGTTAAGTTATGGTTTCTAAGTTTATGATTAAACCAGTCTCTCTCATGGCGTTCCAATGATTTTAATGTGGATATGAGAAAAAGGCCATTCATTTAGGGGAATAAAAAACATGAGAAACAACAGGATAGGCAGTGGAAAACAAGTTTTCTATGAAGGAATCAATTGATGTGTTAAAATGCAGTTTTACACTCAGGTAATTTACTTAAAGCTCCAGAACAGAATCTAGTGCAGCGAAGGTATGGAACGCTTTTGTCTTTCAAACATTTTGCATGTTATTCAGGGTTCAAATTTACAAAATTGATGTGCAAAAGTGAAGCTCAAGATTGCTCTCTGGTTTCTCAGACAATGTTAATTTTCTGCATCCTGTTCTGTTTCTGCTCATCCTCATGCGAGAACTTTTAAAAAGCAGGAACATGTGATGCACTCAGTGTGGTGTGTAGGCTACGTTTAAACAAAGGTTGTTAGGAAAGGAGGCATTAAGGAAAACTATTGAGACTCATCCGAGAAGAGTACCGAGAGGAAAAGGAAATGACAAAGTAGAGAGCTGTCTCATGACTGGCTCGACCTCTTTTAGGCTCATGGAAAATTGGCAACATCTACAAATATATGTTGAATTGTATAAAGAATATATGCAAATGAAGAATATTAACAGACATTAAGACTAAATATCTATAAATAAAACGTGATTCATAGTATCCTATTCCCACACTCTAGTGATTTGTGTCTTATATATAATCATGGTTTGAGCTCGTAAATAAGGTCCAAATTCTCTCAAATTTGGACCTTCAGAGTGAAGTGAAGTGTGACTCTCCGCTGAGTGCCTTTGCAGTTTTGAACAGGAAGACGCAGTTTCCTTTCTCTGGCTGTGCTCCTAACTTAGACTGAACATCAGGAAGCTACACCACCGAGAGATTCCAAGGCGTGATTTAAAGCCCGGCTATAAACATCCGCTTTGTAAAATCCATAGATAATTGCTTTTAGACTCTGCCACTGTCCGCTGTATGAAAGGTAGAACACACTCGTGCAGCATTAGCTCCCAAAAGTTATCTAAATAAAGACTAAGATGCAGTTTCTGTAATGCCATTTAATGTGTAAAAAAAAAAAGCAAATTATATTGCTGTAGCAAAACAAGACATTTATTTAAAAAACAATTTGTAAAAGCTTATCTATAATTTTCTTAAAATGAAACACATGAATAAAAATGGTTACAAACTAAATGGAATTATTTTTCCTCTGTGAGTGAGACGCCACAGTTGTGTCCACATCCTCTTCCTCTGCAAAAGAAAGTGCAAATCTTTTTATTCCCCATTTCAAATTCCGACATATTACAAAAAGATGTTACCTACAAGTCATGTAAACTGACCTTCACACCACAGCACAGGAGCGTGGCTCTCTGAAGGGGTTGCTGCCTGTGGGGACTCCAACCAGCAGGGCGTCTTTGCCTGCGTTCTGCAGACAGTACTGCTGCAGCTCTGCAGCCGCCTGGGACACCTGGGGAAACAATCAGGGACAAATAGATTTATATGGTACCACTTACTGATATATTTCTGTATAAAGGATTGATAGTTATTAATTAATGGCTTTTTTAATGGCTAATGAATAATTTACTAATGCTTTATGCTAAGAACATGTTTCCTAATGTTTTGATGCTGCAGCATCAAACTTGCTTTGTATTTCTAACTAGCTGTGTAGTTAATTTGCTGTAGGCTTATTAGAACATGAGAAACACAGAACCTTTTATTAACGATAGTATACTAACGAGGGGTCTCCCCAATGAAGCTGAAAAGACAAAGCAGGATTGATGCTTGAGGAGGATTTCCCCCCAACCACAAAAGTTTTCATAGGATTGTAAATTATCTATAAAGCATTCGTAAGTTATTCATTAACCATTAATACATTTATTAATTAAGGCTTTAAAATCCCTTATAAAAGCTTTCCATATGTTTCCATACATTTGGCCAGTTGTTAAATTATCATTTAAAACAACAATAAAACAAACGTGTAAAAGGCAGCTGAACAGAAGATAAAAGCTAAAAGGAGTAAAGCAAGTGTCTGTACAACATGTGAAGTAAGCAATTAATAAAACAAAGAAATCATAGCAACAGTGAGAGCAACATAACATCGCATTACAATACAAATGACATAAGTAAAATAAGATTATTTACAATTACTTTATACAAAACACACGTTTTGACATCATCATCGTACAAATATTTAGGTTCTGTAAGATGTTATTTTATTGTTTTCTACAAATAGCTAAATCTGACATTTGTCACAATTCTAATGTATCAAAGTGTATGGAAAGTGTATTTTGAAATGTTTCATTGGTAACATAGTATGAGGTGCATGTGTGGAATGAATAAGAGTACAAAAACAAATAGTTTAAGACAGTGTTGGACGACTGTGCTGTCACAAGACAAGTTGGTGGCTGATAAATGAATACATTTTATAAAACAAAAGCAAAAAAATGCGACTGTAATGTGTTGAATCTAATACAAGCACGTAAACAAAACAAAGTCAAACAAATGAAGAAAAGCTCATTAAACCTTTAACCCTCCCGTTCTTTAGATTTATGTTCTTTTCCCGTCTTTACCTTGATTCTCTCCACACTGGCCTCGAGCTTCAGTTGCTCAACCAGCCGTCGCATATTGGATAAATTGGAATTAGAGGTCATGTTGGAGGAAATTGTTTTTCGGGAAAGAAGAATTCCTGAAGAAAAAAAAGTCCCCTTCAGTCTTTCAACACAGGAGCTGACTGCACTAATGGGCAGCGAAACGCTGGAGGAGAAAGGCTGGCTGGGTTTCTTTCCAAATGACCTCAGTCCACTTCAGTATAGAAACAAGGAAAGGTGGAAGTAAACACTGGCCTCCAAATCAAGATACACTTATTCAAGTATTTAGGCATATTCATCTTGTAGTGTATATTGTAGTGTACTTGCTCTACATTGCTGTTTTCCCAGTGAAGAAATATACAGTTTAACTTCACTCAAACTTTAAACTGCACCCCAGATACAGAGAAAGAGTTTGAGAGAGGGGGAAGACAGACAAGTAAGGAGAACCGGACAAGGAGGACGGGAGAGAGAGGAAGTTAAGTTAAAGGAGCATCAAAGGAGGTGGGAAAAGAGTAAGGGAAGATGAAGGAAAATGGCAGGAGGAAGCATCAAGGACAAAGGAAATCAAAGAGGAGGAAAAAGGGGGAGAGAAAGGATAAAGGGGAGACTTTCGATCCCCTCCTCTCTCTTGTTTTACTTCCACATATGGGAGGATGTGAGAAAGATGAGGAGGAAGTTAAGAGAGCAAAGTAGGAAGAGGAGGCCGGTTGGAAGAAAAAAGGAGGCAGAGAAGGTCTTGATTAAGAATGATAATAATTTCAAGAATTTAATTTAAAAAAAATAACAAAAGGATTGAGCGTGAAATCTTGGTTGACGTCCCTCCAGCAGTAGGTATGTTCATTGGCTCTGCGCATGCGCTTGTCTGGGCTGCCTGAAAGCGCTGCGAGACGTCGTGCTGCAGCTGAACTGTAAATTACTAGCATACGAGCTGCGTTTGAATGCAGCTTTCCCCCCCCCCCCCTACTGAGACCCACATGGCTAATGAACTACAACACGGTCCGCTTGTGTCCTCATTGGTCCGCAGGTGATTTAACAACAGGATTGGCTGTAAGTAGCGTGTGCCTAAAGGTAAGCATTACAGGAACGTAGGAGAGCCAACGTCCGAGGTGTTGAAACGAGGAAAGAATGAGCTACAGCGACACAGAGAGCTGTCACACTCTTTGATTTAACGCGTGTCTGAGGCTGTCGCAGACATGGTGGAGGTATTCACCGGGCGGACACTCGTGAATAAAGACGGGGAGTTCGTGGATCCCAACGAGGCGCTGAGGAATAAAGTGGTGGGGATCTACTTTTCTGCAGGATGGTGTCCGCCGTGTCGGGACTTCACACCCATCCTGTGCGATTTCTACACGGAACTGGTGGAAGAGAACGACCCTCCGGCTCAGTTTGAGATTGTTTTCGTCTCCTCCGACAAGTCGACCGACGACATGGTTGAATACTATCACGACATGCACGGAGACTGGCTGGCTCTGCCCTGGACGGACGAGTACAAGCAGTGAGTTTCACAATCTGACGCAAAGTTGACGCAAAAGTTGAAGTTCGTGAATGGTTCCCGTGACTCTTCTCTTGTTTTACGTCAAAAACCACACTTTGCTGCAATTGCTTTTGCTTTGTTTGTCTTTATGTTGTTCTGAGGATTTCACTGTGTTGCCTAAACAGCTCATTAGTCTGCTGCAGCTTATCTAAAATGCTTACAAGGGTCACCCTGTCGGGGATTATGGTCAACAGCAGGACAGACTAACTGTTTCCATTGGTCTGTTTAACCAGACCAATGGAACCTAAAAAAAAACAGTATTTTTATTCATTTTATATTGTTTGTCTCAAGTGCCGTGTTACATTTAGTCCATGTCGTCTGTTTTTGTTTTCATATGGTGTTATTTACACATTTTTAGTGGTTGAGGAATCATTTACTTTAGTAAAAGTAGAAATACCACAATGAAAGTCCTACTTAGTGAACGTGTTACCAGCTAAAAGTACACAAAAGTACTCATTATGATGGCAACAATGGCCTGTCAGCAATATGTTATTGTGTATTATTTACTCTTGTGTGAAGCTCAAGATGATTTTGTCCACAAAGCAGGAGAAGTTTGCAGTTGTCCCAGGTGTTTGTTTGTAATAAAGTATTTTCTTTGTCTCTCCCTCAGTGAGTTGAAGCAGCGTTACACGATCACAGCGGTGCCCAAACTGGTGATCGTGAAGGAGAACGGCGACGTGATCACAGACAAGGGCCGCAAACAGATCAGGGACCGGGGCCTGGCCAGCTTCAGGTCCTGGCTGGACGCTGCAGAAATCTTCCAGAACTTTAAGGGTTAGAAAGCAAAGACGAGGAACACGTCAGACCTTCTTTTCACGACGGGCTACTGGAGCCACGATAGAGAGCTGAACAAAAACCAAAATATGATATTCCCAAGTTGGCTCAGTGGTTCCCAACGTGGAGAAGAAGGGTCAGAAGATGATTTAAGAGATGTGAAAGAGGAAATTACATTTCTGTTACACAAAATGTGTTTATTTATTCAGATTTAACACTATTTTTCTGCTTTTTTTTTTCCCATCAAAGACTGAATATAATTAACTTCTTAAGCACTCTTAAAATCCTTTGAATGAAATGATGTGAGAAGGAAAAATCTAACTGTGGTTGGATTGCTCATGAATCCTGCTTTAATGAGTTGTTTACGAGTAGATATGGATTAGTTTTAAGGGTTCAAAAAGGTTGGAAACCCTTCTTTAAACATCCTATGCATTAAAGACATACCTCAGGCATATCCACTATGGTTCATATGTAAAAGAAAAAAGATTTGCTTTATGGAAATTGTGCGTTTACTTTGACTAATACAAGCCAGCTACTGTAGTTCCTTCAGAAATCTATTCCTACGTTCTTTATAAGCTTGTGCACTAACGAAACATGCAGGCAAACCTTGCTTTATTAATATCTTAACATGCTTTTGTACATTTAAGGTTTGACTTGTAGTTCTACTTTGAGCTGCCTGTGTATTTTTGTATATTTTATTTTATACGAGTTTTATTATTACTATTATTA